TAAAATAGTATATCAACTGATGAGTAAGTTTGGTGCATACTGTCTTCTTGCTCTCAGGGTGCTTATGGTTTAACAAAAGGGGAAATATATTTTACATACTATGTGGTATAAGTTAACAAGTAAAAAATGTCAGGTAAGAAAGCTTATTTGGGAATTAAGAATATGGAGGGAGGGAATCTTTTGAGGTTAGATAAGATATAATTTTGGAAATTAAGAATTACAGAAATAAGGACCTAAAAACATACCATAAAGATTTCTGGTCCAAGTCAAGAAAAATTATATGCATCTAAGTGTCTAAGTATATATATATTTGTCAGTTTTCTGAATTTCCAAATGAATTAAAAATAAAGACTCTTGAAGGCCAGGGAAACAACACTCGAGAGTTCACTAGCAGAACTGGGGCCACAGTCTAGGGCTACGGACCAGACCTTCAGCGAGACCAGTGCTCATTCATTCCTCCCTGGAGTTGAGCCTTGAATGAAATGTCCAGTTTAGATGCAGGGGTGGCTCGAGGCAGAGCGGCGGCCCTGCTGAAGGGAGGTAGTCACAGACAGAGAGGCATGGGCTCGAGCTTCAGGCTTCTGACTCTACCTTTTTTCATTTCCTGTGAGGTCTTCCTGTCAGCCTTTGTCTGCTGATAGCACTGTCCCCTGTCATATGTACAAATATTTACTGCCTTAAGTAAAACCACACTGTTGCTTGACCCTGTGGCCCTCGTACTTATGAACCCATCTCCTAACACCTAGGCACCTTGCCCCGACGGTAGTCTACACTTGCTCATTTCTCTCAATCCCTTAGGAATGGGCTGTAATGGATATCCCACCCCAGCCACTCCATGGAAACAATCCTGGTGAACTCTGTAAACCCGCATATGTGTGCTACTCGAGACTCTTGATGCATTGCTCTGCAGATCTCCACTTGAGGCTTCTGGCCCCCTTGCACATCAAGTAGGGTGCTGGGTTGCTTGCCATCTACGTGATCCTGGCTGACTTACGGAATGAAGAATATTTTTTGGAAGATTGGCAGACACTGTTGCTTCTGACTTCTCCTTTGCCCATAGGATACTGATTTGGTTTGCGTCCCACGTTCCTGACGCTTTGCTAGATGTAGATATTCTCCGCCTTCCTGATAAGGGGTGGCCACGTCACACAACTCTGGCTAGCACATACAAGGAGATGTCTGTTGGGGGAAATCTGAGAGAGGAGGCCTGTTCTTCTTGCCTTGGACTCCGTTGTGTGATGAGGTGGTGCTGGAGGACATAAGAGCTGTCTTTTATGGGGACAATCAGGAGACCCCCGGATGAGAAGCCAAGGGAGCTGGGTGGCTGGGCAGAAGGATAGGGAGAGCCTGGCCTCTTGTTCACTTTGAGGTTCTAGACTAGATGTTGAACTGCCGGTCACCAAATAAGTGACATAATTAAATGTCATTTATAGTCATGGCCCTGGTACTTGCACCTAAAAAAGCAATTATTTCTGTAAATGAAGGTTCACCTCTCCCAGTCACTCCAAACAGCACTGTCCAATGGAGCTGTAATGTAAGACAAAGGTGAAATTATATTTTCTATTAGCCACATTTAAAAAAGTGAAAACATCTACTAGGATGAATTTTAATAACCTTTTATTAAACCAAACAAATCCATAGTATTTAGATTTCACTGTATAATTAAGGTAAAATAATTATTAATTGGATGTGGTAGCGCTTACCTGTAGTCCTACCTACTCAGAAGGCTAAGGTGGGAGAATTGCTTGAGCCTAGGAGTTCAAGGGCAGCCTGGGCAACATAGTGAGACCTCATCTTTCTCTCTCTTTTTTTTAATAATTATTTACAGGATATTTTACATTAATTTTTTATATCAAGTTTTCAAAATCTGTCTTTTAACACTTGTGGCACATCTCAGTTGCACTAGCCACTTTTCAGTGCTCCATAGCCTCATGGGCTAGTGGCCTGCATTTTGGCTGGCATAGCTCTAGAATCAGACCCCTGGACAGGAGCGGTGATTAGCAAGACCTAACTTACCTGATTGCGGTCCTCCTGCCAGGACAGGAAGGGAGAGACTGACTCCCTTTGTATTCCTTACCTGGGAAGCCCCCTATGCATGAGAGTCAGAAGCTGGGCAGCCAGAGAAGGTTGGTGTGCCTTGTGACACTATGTACCCCCTTTTGTTATACCCACTGTTGCTTGTCCTTCAAAAATGGATGTTCCCAGGGTTCCATTATTGGCTTTTGATCTTTCTTTTTGGTTCTCTCTTTGGGTGTTACCTATTTTGGTTTTAGTCATCATCTATATGCTGATGACTTCCATATCTGTATTTGCAGCCCTGTTATTTTCTAGTTTTATAGCCATATATTCATTTCTTGGCTGGACATAGCCTCTTACCTGTCCTCCAGACTTCCATTGCCCAGTCTGAACTTACCCTCCCTCTTCTTCCTTGGACCCCTAATCTTATGTTTAGGGACCACTGTATACCCATTACCCAAACCAGAAACAGGAGCATCTTACTGTCTCCCTACTTCTTCACTCCTCAACCTCCTGTCAGTCACCAGGTCTGGTGCATTTTACTCCTGACTCTTTCCTCAGACTTGACCCTTCTTTTCTGAGCCATATTCATTACCAGACATCTTTTATAGAACTACTGTAGCGATCTCGTAGCCCATCTCCTGCCTTCTGGCTCATGGTCCCCCTTTGCTTCTTGCCTTCCTCCCCGCCCCACCCTCCAGCTGTCCTGTGCACTGCAGCCAGAGTGATCTCCCTTAGCACACATTGTCATTCCACTGCTTCAGCTTTTTCAAGTGTTCCCATTGACTATGGAATGAAGTTCCAGCTCCTTAGCGTGCTATAAAGGGCCTGGTCTGTCCATTCTTACCTGTCATTACTCCTGACCTTGCATTTGGTGCTTTGGTAATACGGAATGGTGTGGGTGGCTGCTGGCTGTGGAATGCTGTGTTGGTGGGGGCTGCCGCTGATTCCCCTGAATGCCCTGCTTTTGTATTAATGTGCTTTCTTCCCACCATGCCCTTTCCACCTTTCTGGCCAGCTCATTGTGGCTCATTCAGAACGTTCTATAATGGCGTAATCTTTGGCATTTTCTCTGAATCTGGAGACTGGACTAAATACCCCTCCTCTGCATTTCCCATAATCTTTGCCCATGCACCCCCTTTTTTGGCCATATATGATTGAAATTATTTATATGTATTTGTGGGTTTTTTGAGGCTAGGGCATCATCTTAGTCGTCTTTATCATGGAATGTCTTGTGTAGTATCTGGCTCCATATATATTTCTTGAACTGAATTAGATAAGTTTGAAGGGAGACTGAGTGGAAAAATATGTCAACTCAAGTTACAGACAGCCTTATGCATAAGAAGCGTTCAAATGTTTGGTGAATGAAGAACTGGAAATCAGATTATATTGCTTTGTAAGTCTTGTCAGTTTTGGTGGGAAAATAACTTCAGGTAATAAATCCTTTGTTACCACAACCATACCCTTTGTTGTACTGTATCAGCATGAAGCATTGTTATTTTCTAGCTTTAGAGGTGATAGGCCCGGGTTAGCTGACTTCATGACATCTAAAATCACATCATATGGCATCTTTGTCCCACTTGTCATGGGGTGCTGGGGCTCACATCTATTCTGTGCCCAGTCGGTTCTTGCCAAGACTAATTCCCCTAAAGTAGGGGTTGGCAAGCTGTCACCTGTTTTTGTAAATACAGTTTTACTGAAACATAGCCAAACTATTAATTGATATGTTATTATGTATAGCTGCTTTTCTGCTAAAACAGCATAGTTGAACAATTGAGACAGAGACCATGTGGTTTGCAAACTAGAAAATATTTCCTAATTGGTTTTTTACATTGTAAGTTTGCTATAGAGCTTTGCCTTAGAACCATTTAATTTTTGGCAGACAAAACCTTATGTTTTACTCCAAATTGAGTACTGATCTCTGATTAGGAATCAGGAGAATAAAGATCAAAAAGCATCTTTGAGTTGTGTACTCTTTTTGGTAGGATGGCTTTCTTAAATTGATTGCAGGATAGTCTCGAACTCCTGGGCTCAATCCACCCTCCTTTCTCGGCCTCCCAAGTGCTATATCTTTGTTGTTCTAGGTTATGTATATGAAATCTAAGTTCAAGAAAAAGTTTGTACCTTTGCAGACTGCTAGATGCTTAGAGGCTTAAATACAGGACTTCCATTAAAGCGTTTAAATATCTGTTTATACATCTCCCTCCCTATACCTTACCACCCGTTCTCCAACCTTGCCACCTTTCCTTTTGTAGGCAGAGTTCCTCTGGGTTTGACTAATTCTTTATTGTTTCTGTTTCTGAAAATAAGTAAGCTACCTTTATAGGGTAAAGGTAAAATCCTGGCAGTGTGGATTTGAGGTGACATATACCTGTCCTCAGCATGTCACCAAAGGCGATATTAGAGTCATTTATTGTGTGGTAGCTGTGAGGATGACCCACGTCTGCTGGAATGCTGGAGGAGAATGTGCGAGGGTGCCGGCAGTCCCTTTTCAGTTGCTGCGTGATCGAGAGGTCTGGGGCTGGAGGTGGTGAGGGATGGAAGGGTGGGGTACCAGCTGGTGGTCAGCTTGCCTCTACAGATGTGTGTATTACTTCTAGTAAAGCGGAGGTTCCTCTGGCTCATCCTTCATCATGCATGTTTGAAATGTCATGTGCCAGATGCAGTTCTGGGCATTAGGGATTCAGAATAAGTAAATGTGCTTGTTGCCGTTGGGAGGCTTATATAGACAGGCGTTCTTGGAACAGTGTGGCAGGAGTTGGGAAGATCTATGCCGGAGAAGCCAGGAAAGGTTCTGTGCTGACAAAACAATGTACGTGCTTTAACGGTCCAGTGGTTTTAGTTTTAAAGAAAACCCAAACTTTTTGACATCTTCCACTAAGCCTACATATTATACCTGTTTACTGTAATTTTTGCTTACAAAAACATTCCAATTTTTATAGCAGTTATTTACTTTTTAGGATATAATTAAATTTATCTTTTAGGTTGCCTGCCTGATTCGAGTTCCATCTGAAGTGGTTAAACAGAGGGCACAGGTATCTGCTTCTACAAGAACATTTCAGATTTTCTCTAACATCTTATATGAAGAGGTGAGATATGTTTTTAAACTCTACTCTTCTTTGTTAAGATTTCGTAGTAGCTAATATGAGCACTGTGGATTTCATCCTAAAGGGCCTTAGAGAAAACTTTAGAGCTAAATTTAATGTCCAGTTACAGTAATTTTTTGCTAAGATTATCTTTGCCTTTTATTCGTTTTTGAATATTTTGCTATAAATATTTTTCACATTTCTAAGCATAGCATTGAGTGTTACTACAGTATGTGTATCCTGAATTGTAATCTTCCTGCAGTTCTTCTGGAATCAGATGTGAAACATCGTAAATATGTAAAATGAATAAAGATACTACATTAAAACATCTCTATAGTATTTTTGGTCTACAGAAGAGAAATATAGTACAGCACTAATAACAGTGATCGGTGTCGTAATGTTTATACCAAAATGTAGCTCCTCTTTTGTAATGCATTGGCAGCTCTCAGTCAGAAATTATTCTTCCTGGCTATGTGACTAGGGAGCATTTAGCTACTTTCCTTTATAGTGTTTATAGAAGCATTTTTTTAAAGCAAGAAAATCAGTCACATGGAAATTTTCAATGAGTCTCGATTTTAGAAAAGTTATTTCTAATGGTCTGTTACCTAGGTGAGGAAACATTGAATATCTAATTGTACAAATGAGATGAAGCTATTATAGCTTCCCTGTTGAACTATGTGGATGGTTAATCCAGGTTTGTCTGGAATTATTGAGCACTGCTTTGAGAGATTATGAATGAATTTCTGATGTTTGAAGCTATAAATATAATTCTGTTGTTATGCAAAAGGATAATTGGCATTTGTATGCATTTGCTTTTGGAAATGTATTTAAAGCATCTCAAATGCTCTTTTCAAGAGAAGACATGTTATAGCAATTACATACGATATAATTAATGTTTAGTAGAATACAGCAACTAACAGTAAATATGTAGTCAGTTTTATTGTTAGACATGTTCCTATTTCAAAGGGAGCTAATCTGAGCTCCCTTAGTAGCCAGTTACAGAGGTATGTAAGTTATATAAGATATAGCATGTACCTTAGGCCAGTTTAGAATCATTGACCTCTTATGGCAGTTGTGAATGTTTTAGAACTCAAATGAGAGCAGGTAGATCTGCTACATACGGAATGGCCTTGGGAAACCTCTGCTATTCTTTCCGAACTCTTGGCTGTTTATCTGTTTCAGGGTATCCAAGGGTTGTATCGAGGCTATAAAAGCACAGTTTTAAGAGAGGTAAGTCACTTACTTTCTGTTATTGAAGTACAAAGGAATGATGTGCTTTGTTCCATAAGTTTATACTTCTTAACAATTAGAAATATATTTGGAGAAACTTGGTTTAAAAAATCAAAAAGAAATTGTAGTCACTCTTTAGTTTTCTCAGTTTTTATATTTAAAAGAATGGGTAGAACGGGTTTGCTGGAAGAGCAATTTCAGTGGTCAGAATGGCCCGTCATGTAACTGACTTATAATTCTAGGGTGACTAAATGTCTTTTATAGTTGAAATATTAAAAAATAACTATGGACAAGGCATGGTGGCTCATGCCTGTAATCCCAGCACATTGGGAGGCTTAGGCAATGAGATCACCTGAGGTCAGGAGTTTGAGACCAACCAGGCCAACATAGTGAAACCCCGTCTCTTGTAAAAGTACAAAAATTAGCTGGTTGTGGTGGTGGGCACCTGTAATTTCCAGTTACTTAGGAGGCTAAAGCAGGAGAATCGCTTGAACTCTCTAGGCAGAGGTTGCAGTGAGCCAATATCGTGCCACTGCACTCCAGCCTGGGTGACAAGAGTGAGACTCTGTCCCCATGCCCTCCCCCCCCAAAAAAATAACTACTAAGGATAAGATATCAAGTTAAATACTGAATTATGAGGAACTAATGAAAAATTGGTGATGAAAGATGCACTCTAAGAAGGGACCCCCAACCCCGGGGTCGTGGACTGGTTCTGGTCCATGGCCTGTTAGAAACTGGGCCACACAGCAGGAGGTGAGCAGCAGGTGAGTAAGCATTCCTGCCTGAACTCTACCTCCTGTCAGATCAGCAGCAGCATTAGATTCTCAGGAACATAAACCCGATTGTGAACTGCTCATGTGAGGGATCTTGGTTGTGTGCTCCTCATGACAATCTAATGCATGGTGATCTGAGGTAGAACATCTGAGGTGGAACAGTTTTATCCCAAAACCATCCACATCACCACCAGGCCATGGAAAAATTGTCATCCACAAAACCTGTCCCTGGTGCCAAAAAGGTTGGGTACCGCTGGTCTAAGAGATGGGTGTCTCGAAAGTCTGTATCAGGCAGTTATCCCTTGGCTTCTTGATAACGAAATAAGATGAGCTGGGAAGTTCAGTCTGGCCTGGAGTCCTGGCACTGCAGGTGATTCACAGTGCAGTGTGCCCCAGGGCAAGCCACTTCACCTCTCTTTGCCTTCTAACTCTAAATTTCTGTGATTCAACACATGGGAAATTTTCTTTTGTTGTTTTTGGTTGAAAGAGCAAAAGTTTACCATCAATAAGTAGTTTCAGTATATTACTGCAAGAATCATGGTATAGGCCAGGCATGATGGCTCAAACCTGTAATTCCAGCATTTTAGGAGGTGGAGGTGGGTGGATTGTTTGAGCCCAGGAGTTTAAGACCAGCCTGGGCAACATGGTGAGACACTGACTCTATAAAAAAAATATATGAAAACTAGCTGGGCGTGGTAGTGCCTTAATCCCAGCTACTTGGGAGGCCAAGGTGGGAGGATTGCTTGAGCCTGGGAGGTCGAGGCTGCAGTGAGCCATGATTGTGCTGCTGCACTCCAGCCTGTGTAACAGTGAGACCCTGTCTCAAAAAAGAAAAAAAAAAGAAGCATGTTATAATCTTTGCTTCACATAGAAGTGACTGTGTTGAAGTTCAAGAGTTTGTTTTCAGATGGGTGAGATCTAAGAGAAGTCTGGTTTGGGACACCATTTTCTATTAAAACATAAGCGAGAACCTGCATACATGTGCCCTGCATCTGCGTTTTCTATTTGGAGGTCCTGGGATACTGAAACATAATCGTTAAATATTGCCGTAATTGACCAAATACTGAAATTCATTGAAGTCCTTCATTTTATTCTCAGGTAGTTTTATTGTGTTTAACTAGAGATTACAGTCCTCTTTAGGACCTAACAGCGCTGTTATATGTGACTTATAGCTTTGGTTTTTCACAGGTTAACAACCTAGTTGGTGTAGATGTTTGAAGAACTTCTTTTTAAGGCAAACTTAATGTTTCAAAATTAGTTATTTGTGTGGAGATGACTTCTGCCTTTAAGAAATATCACCCATACTGTATATTCACTCTGTACTTAGTTTCTGACTCACTAAACGTGTGTTACTTAGATTTCACCTGGGTGAGGAAAAAGTGAGGCATAAGCCTTTTTTATTTTTCTGAGAGATGCTGAATAAATGAATATATTTACATGGCAGAGAATGCTGGTTTTGCATACAAACAGATAAACCACATGGCCGCAACTGCATTCTGTTCTTTAGAAAATTTGTTTTGACATATGTCATGCTGGTAATTAATTTCTAGGCTGCAATCCTTGAAAGTATTGTGACCTTACTGAGATGACTTCGTTTACTCAAAATGGCAGCGTTTTGTTGGAAATTTAATTGAGGTCTTCTGCATTATGCATATTTATAAAAGATCCTTCAGACTTGATTTTAGTTGAGGTATTGCTTTTGTACAGATTCTCTGATAGAACAAGAGAAGAATTACTGCTGAATGAAACACAGCTTCTTCTAAAAATGAGAAAAATAAGAAGTGATACTTTTGCTTTAAGCAAAATTTTTTGCATTATAGCTTAGATTCTTATTTTATTCTGGCACCAATAGAAAATCTTTTTGCCAAGAGCTTGTTTGTTGTTTCAGTAGGAAAATAAATCAAAACCTTAGTGAGAATCACCTGGAAATGTATACGTTTATTCTGTATGCAGTTTTTTCTTTAGTTTTATCTCCCTAGCAGTTGCCGATTAAAATGAGATTGAAGTTTTGAGTCCATGCGTTATAAGATAGATTCTGTGTGTTCTTTAGATTGTGTGAATGTTGTCGCACCTTTTTTTTTTTTTTTTTAACTGCATTTGATGTTTGTGGAGATTGCATGCTTATCCCTGATATTTTCTGAAATTATTTTAGTTACTGTGAATTTTAGACGGAGTCTAAGCAAGGTCAGCAGATTACACTATTTACCTTACCCTTTCAGTGTTCATTTTTCTCATGATCTTTGCCAAACTAGGTGTGGTCAAGCATGCTGGCGCAGTGATATTACTGCAGGAAGATGAACGTGGGGAGCAGAATCATAGCCGCTTTCATAACCAGGATGATTTCAGATGCTATTGGCCTGAAAATATTATGGAGAGCAGCCTCAGACTCTTGGATGTGAATTAGAAGGTCTTTTATAGAGGAAGAAAACAGAGTGAAGCAAATTGTTTGAAAAGAAGTAGGAATCAGTTAAACTTAGCAGGTGTCTTTTGTCCGCAAACTTCACTCAGCAGTCCTTTTTGGAGTGCCTACTGTGTTTTGGGGCACTACAGGGAACACTCCTTCCCTGAAGGATTCACTTTCTGGCAGGGAAACAAATAGGGAAGTAGACACTTTCAGTGCAGTGTCATAAGCACTGTAATGATAAGTATATACAAGATGTAGCTGGGGTTGCAGAAGAAGTAATGCTTGAGTGATGCTCAATTAGCATTAAATGACTCTTAATTGTTGAAGGAGTGGCAGAAGTAGTCAAGGATATAGGCAGATAGAACAGCAAGAGCAAAGGCACAAGGGTGTGAAAGTACATGTGTGTAACTTGCTTATTGAAGCAGAATTGGGGTTTTCATGACCACAGAAGAGAGTGCAAACCAATGAGGGCCTTCAAGAGAGCATGAAGTGGGGTATTTGTGTGGAGGAGAAGTTGAACCTCTTGCCTCAGCTGTTTGTTTGCCAGGGACTGGAGTGGAGTATATGGGAAAAGCCTCTGAAAGAGCCTGACATGTTCACTGCAGTCTGGAGAATAAATTGCTGGTGTCTACAGAAAACCAAGGTGAGGAGCTGGTTGGAGCTGTCCCAATGGCAAAATGTAGTCATTTTAATAACGCATAACTCCTGGCTTCTTTTTGGTGGATGCCACTAAAGAGATTTGAGATAGGGTAAGGGTTGCCCCCCCCCGCCCCCCGCCCTAGTTTTGCTCCATGCGGTCAAGCACGCCAAACAAGTCATTCAATCTGTTCAGTAAGTTCATTGAAGTCCCCAGTCCTTAGGTGCGAAAATGATTACTCTTACTAGCTTATTTGAAAGTAGATATAGCAGCTTTCCAGACTTGTTTGCAGTTATTATCCATGTTAGGCAGTGAGGATTCCCCTAAATCCAGTGGCTGGAAACGGGAACCCTCAGGCATCAAACCTCAAGGACTGTCCTCTGAAGTCCTCTTTCCAGTTCTGCTGTCTGCCTACTGAGTGCCTTTCCCCTAAACACTCACGTTGCAGAAGTCTCCTTAGTGTTTTTTCAGAGACACTCTATTCTAGATCTTCTGTATTTTTTGTTGCTGCTTTTTAACCTAACTTATTTTGGAGATCATTTATATCACTTCATAAAGAGCACCTTCATTTATAACGATTGCATAGTAGGCCATTGTATAAACAAAACGTTGTTTATTTAACATTTCCCTGTTGGTGGACATGACAGACGTGCTTCAGTGACTAATTCTGTTCCCGTGTCATTTTATACATGGTTGAATGTGCGTAGGTTACATGTCAAAAGTAGAATTACTTCATGAAAGGTATGGGCATTTGTAATTTTGGTAGATAATGCTTAACTGACTTCAGGCAAGCACCAACTGATGCCTGCTGACAATGTGGGAGCTTTCTGTTTTCCCCTGCCTCACCTATGGACTAGCAGACTAAAAGACAAAAACTGATGTCATTATAGTTCTAATTTTAATTACAAGTAAGACTGGACATATCAGCATATATCTGAGAAAGATTTCTGAGAATGACTTTATTTACTTTCCTGTCACCTGATTATTTGAAACTTCCCAGAATTCTTGTGAGGATTAAATGAGGGGATCCAGGGGAAGTGCTTTGTATAGTGCTTGTCACGTAGTATGTACTCAGGAAATGTTAACTGAGATGATTAGTACTCTGGTAACTGAAAGAGTGTTGACAGTGAAGGACACCTGATAAGGTTTGGCTCTGTGTCCTCACCCAAATCTCATCTCGAATTGT